AAAAAAAAAAAAAAAAAAAAAAAAAAAAAGAAATGCACAGACTTGAGCTCAGTGGGAACAGAGGCCCATACACCAGGAGGGGCTCTGAATAGGTTGAAGAAAGAGGCCTTTAATGGGGATTAACAGTGAGATGGTGGGCCAGGTGCGGTGGCTCACACCTGTAATCCCAGCACTTTGGGAGGCTGAGGCAGGCGGATCACTTGAGATCAGGAGTTCAAGACCAGCCTGGCCAACAGGGCAAAACTCCATCTCTACTAAAAATACAATAATTAGTTGGGCATGGTGGCAGGTGCCTGCAACCCCAGCTACTTGGCAGACTGAGGCAGGAGAATTGCTTGAACCTGGGAGATGGAGGTTGCAGTGAGCCGAGATCGCACCACTGCACTCCAGCCTGGGCAGACAGAACAAGAATCTGTCTCAAAAAAAATAAAAGATCTCAAAAAAAAAAAAAATCCTGGAATATACCCTGGCCATGCTCCCTGACGAGTCATTGAGTTATGTGTAGAAAAAGGAGCAGAGGTGGGGTACATAAGAGTACAGTGGGAATGGGGAGTAAAGGAGAATTTTTGAAGACAAAATTTTATTTTATTATTTTTGAGACAGGGTCTTGCTCTGTCACCCAGGCTGGAGTGCAGTGGTGCAATCAACCTCTTGGGCTCAAGTTATCCTCCCACCTCGGCCTCCTAAGTAGCCAGTACTACAGATGTGCACCACCACACTGAGCTAATCTTTCAATTTTTTGTAGAGACAGGAGTCTTGTTACGTTGCCCAGGCTGGCTTTGAACTCCCCGACTCAAGCAATTCTCCCGTCTTGGCCTCCCAAGGTGCTAGGATTAGAGGTGCAAGCCACCATGCCCAGCCCAAAATTTTAGAAGTAAACTTGACAGGACTGCTGATTGCACATGCATACATCATTGCAGCTGTAAGTTCCAGTGAAATCTCTGGCAGGAAAGTACCCTGACAGATATGGAGATCAAGGACAGACCAACAGTTATCTTCAGGTGGCAGAAGAAAATGCAGGTGAACCGGCCAGGCACCGGGGCTCACACCTGTAATCCCAGCACTTTGGGAGGCAACAGGCAGATGGAACACAAAGTCAGGAGTTTGAGACCAGCCTGGCCAACATGGTGAAACCCTGTCTCTATTAAAAATACAAAATATTAGCTGGGTGTGGAGGTGCATGACTGTAATCCCACCTACTCAGGAGGTGAGGCAGGAGAAGTACTTGAACCCGGGAGGTGGAGATTGCAGTGAGCCAAGATCATGCCAGTGTACTCCGGCCTGGGGGACAGGGCGAGACTCTGTCTCAAAAAA